CATTTAGGCCTTTAATCCATTTGGAGTTTAGTTTTGTGTATGGTGTTAGGGAGTGTTCTAATTTGTCTTTTACATGTAGCTGTCCAGTTTGCCCAGCACCACTTATTGAAGAGACTGTCTTTTCTCCATTGTATATCCTTGCCTCCTTTGTCATAGATTAGTTGATCATAGGTGCATGGGTTTATCTCTGGGCTGTCTATCCTGTTCCATTGATCTATATTTCTGTTTTTGTGCCAGTATCATACTGTCTTGATTACTGTAGCCCTGTAGTACAGTCTGAAGTCAGGGAGCCTGATTCCTCCAGCCCCATTTTTTTTTTTTTTTTTCTCAAGATTGCTTAGGCTATTCAGGGTCTCTTTTGTCTTCATACAGATTTTAAGATTTTTTTGTTCTAGTTCTGTGAAAAATGTCATTGGTAATTTGATAGGGACTGCACTGAATCTGTAGATTTCTTTGGGTAGTATAGTCATTTTCACAATATTGATTCTTCCAATCCAAGAACATGGTATATCTCTCCATCTGTTTGTGTCATCTTTGATTTATTTCATCAGTTTCTTATAGTTTTCTGAGTACAGGTCTTTTACCTCCTTAAGTAGGTTTATTCCTAGTTATTTTATTCTTTTTGTTGCAATGATTAATGGGATTGTTTCCTTAATTTCTCTTTCTTACCTTTTGTTGTTAGTGTATAGTAATGCAAGAGATTTCTGTGCATTAATTTTGTATCCTGCAACTTTACCAAATTCATTGATTAGCTTTAGTAGTTTTCTGGTGGCATCTTTAGGTTTTTCTATGTAGAGTATCATGTCATCTGTAAACATGACGGTTTTACTTCTTTTCCAATTTGTATTCCTTTTATTTCTTTTTCTTCTCTGATTGCCATGGCTAGGACTTCCAATACTATGTTGAATAATAGTGGTGAGAGCAGACATCCTTGTCTTGTTCCTGATCTTAGAGGAAATGCTTTCAGTTTTTCACCATAGAGAATGATGTTTGCTGTAGGTTTGTCATATATGGCCTTTATTATGTTGAGGTAGGTTCCCTCTATGCCCACTTTCTGGAGAGTTTTTATTATAAATGGGTGTTGAATTTTGTCAAAAGCTTTTTCTGCATCTATTGAGACAATCATATGGTTTTTATTCTTCAGTTTGTTAATATGGTGTATCACATTGATTGATCTGTGTATATTGAAGATTCCTTGCATCCCTGGGGTAAATCCCACTTGATCATGGTGTATGACCCTTTTAATATGTTGTTGGATTCTGTTTGCTAGTATTTTGTTGAGGATTTTTGCATATATATTCATCAGTGATATTGGTCTGTAATTTTCTTTTTTTGTGATATCTTTGTCTGGTTTTCGTATCCAGGTGATGGTGGCCTCATAGTATGAGTCTGGGAGTGTTCTTTCCTCTGCAATTTTTTGGAATAGTTTGAGAAGGATGGGGTTAGATCTTCTCTAAATGTTTGATAGAATTCACCTGTGAAGCCATCTGGTCTTGGACTTTTGTTTGTTGGAAGGGTAGGTAACCTTTTGAAACATACTTTTTTCACTTAACATAATGCTTTTGAGATTCATCCAACTTCTTATAAATGTCAGTAGTTTGTACGTATTTATTGGTAAGTAGTATTCCATTGTATGGATGTATCATTCATTTACTTCTTGAAGAACATTTGGGTTGCTTACAATTTTGGGCAATTATGAATAGAGCTTTTATAAACATTTGTTTTTGTGTGAATATAAATTTTCATTTCTCTAGTGTAGATACTCAGGGGTAGGAATGCTGAGACATACAGTATATGTATGTTTGCCTTTATAAGTAAAAACTGTTTCCAAAGCGTCTATACCATTTTGCATTTCCATCAGCAGTGTATAAGAATTCCTTCCAGTTACTCTTCATCCTTGGTATTCTCAGGATTTTTAATTTTAGCTATTCTTATGATAGTTTTATCTAATCATGATTTTAATTTGCATTTTCCTAATGGCTAACGATGTTGAATATCTTTTCATATGTTTATTTGACATCCTATATCCTCTTAGAAGTGTGTATTTTTAAATATTTTCCCATTTTTTAAATGTTTTTTCTTACTGTTGAGTTTTGAGAATTCTTTATTATCCATACTAGTTGGATATGGGATTTGTAATTACTATCTCCCAGTTTGTAACCTGTCTTTGTATTCTCTAAATAGTATCTTTCTTTTTTTTTTTTTAAATAGTACCTTTCATAGAGCAAAAGTTTTTAATTTTGATGCAGTACAGTTTATCATTTTTTTATGGAGTATGCTTTTTGTGTCTTGTCTAAGAACTCGTTATGCAACCCAAGGTCATAGGTTTTCTTCTAAAAGTTTTATAGTTTTATATTTTGCATTTAGATCTACAATTCATTTTATGTTAACATATGTGTAAGGTTAAAATTTACTTTTTTGCCTATGGATTTCTCCTTGCTCCAGCACCATTTGTTGAAAAGACTATCCTTTCTCCATTAAATTGCTTTTGCACCTTTGTCAAAACTCAATTGGCAGTATTTGTGTGGGTGTATTTCTAAATTCTCTATTCTGTTCCATTGATCTATTTGTTTACCCCTTTGCTAATACCATCCAGTCTTGATTACTATAACTTTATAGTAAAGTCTTAAAATTGGGTAGTTCGAGTTTTCCAATTTTATTCTTCTTTTGCATAATTGCTTTAGCTATTCTAGTTCCTTTGCCTCTCCATATAGATTTTAGAATCAGCTTGTCTATATCTATAAGAAATCTTGCTAAGATTTTAATGGTATTATGTGGAATCTGTAGATCAATATGGGGATAATTAACATTTTTACTGTATTGAAACTTCCAAGCCATGAACATAGTATGTCTCTTTAGTTATTTAGATCTTCGATTTCTTTCTTCAGAGTTTTGTAGGTTTTACATGCAGATACTATACATGCTTTGTTACATTTGTACCTAAGTGTTTTATTTTTTGAAACTATTGTAAATGTTACTGACTTTTAAATTTCTGTTTTAGTTGGACATTGCTAGTCATGTTAGTTTACTATGGCTGCCATAACAAATTACTACAAACTTCGTGGCTTAAAAAAACAGAAATTTACTCTCTTACAGTTCTGGAGGTCAGAAGTCTACAATCAGTTTTGAGCAGAAATCAAAGTGTGGCAGATCTGTTTTCCCTTCACACACAGCAGGGAATCTGTTCTTTGCCTCTTCCAACTTCTGGTGGCTGCCAGCATTCCTTGGCTTGTAGCTACATCACTTCAATCTCTACCTCTGTCTTCATATTGCCTTTCCTCTGTGTTGAATCCCCTCTGCCTCTCTTAGAAAGACACATGTGATGGCATTGAGTGGCCACCTGGATAGTCCATGATAATCTCTCATCTCAAAATCCTTAATTTAATTAATAATATCTGCAAAAAACTTTACCATGTAAGGTAACATTCACAGATTCCAGAAATTAGGACCTAATATTTTTGAGGACATTTTTTAGCCTACTACATTAGTGTCTAGAAATCAAGATTGTGTGTGTGTGTGTGTGTGTGAGAGAGAGAGAGAGAGAAAGAGACAGAGAGAGAAAGAAAAAGACAGAGAGACAGAGACAAAGAGAGAGAGAAAGAGATTTTATGTGTTGACCTTTTATCCCGCAGCCTTAGTACTAAACTCACATATTAATTCTAGGAGTTTTTTGGTTGATTCTTTGGTATTTTGTACATAAATAATAGAGACACTTTTATTTCTTTCTTCCCAATTTGTATGAATTTTATTTCTTTTTCTTGCCTTATTTCATTGACTAGGATTTCCAGTACAATGTGAATAGGAATGGTGAAAGTGAACATCCTTGCCTTATTCCTATTCTTAGGGGGAAAGCATTCAGTTATTCACCATTAAGTATGACGTTAGCTTCTATTCCTTCTTTGTAGAGAAGTTTTATAATTTTTTTTTATTATGAATGGATGTTGAATTTTGTCATATGATTTTTCTGCATCAATTGATATAATCATTTTTTCCCTTCTTTAGATTATTAATATGATGGATTACATTCATTGATTTCCAAATATTGAACCAGCTTTGCATTACTGGGACAAACCCCACTTTATCATAGTATAATTTTTTTATACATTCCTGGTTTTGATTTGGAATATTTTATTAAGGATTTTAATGTCTATGTTCATTAAAGATATTGCTCTGTAGCTGTATTTTCTTATACTGCCTGTCTGGTTTTGGTATCAGGGTAATTCTGGCCTCATAAAATAAATGGGGATGTGATCCCTCCTCTTTTTTCTAGAAGAGATTGTGGAGATTTGGTGTTATTTCTTCTTTATACATTTCATGGAATTTGCCAGTGAAACCATTTGTGCCTGATATTCTTTTTCAGAAGATTTAAAACTACATATTTAATTTTTTTTCATAGTTTTAAGACTACTCAGGTTATCTCTGTTTTCAATTTCATTGATTTCTCATCTCTGTTATTTCCTTCCTTTTGCTCATTTTGGGCTTATTTTGCTTTTCTTTCTTTTTTTTTTTTCCTAGTTTCGTAAGTTGGAAGCTCATATTATTACAGACTTTTCTTCTTTTCTAACATAAACATTTAATGGTATACATTTCCTTTTAAACACTGTTTTAACTACACTGAAGAAAATGTGATGCATTTTAATCTTAATTCAAAATGTTTTCTAGTATCCCTTGAGACTTACTCTTTTGATCCACTGATTATTTATAAGGGTGTTGATTAATTTCCAAGTGTTCTGAAATTTTCCCATTATTTTCTTATATTGATTTCTAGCTTAATTCCATTAGGACCTGAAACATACTTTGCATAATTTTGATTCTTTAAGTTTGTTAAGGTTTATTTTATGATCCATGATATGTTCTATGTTGGTGAATGTTTGGTTGTTTGAATATTGTGTTTTCTCTGAAGGGAGCCATATCTCTAAACTGAGCCCATTTGTTTGCTTATTCACTCAAGAGTCTTTCTGGAAGGTTGTCACTCACAGCCCATTGTTTCTTTTGTCTAGAATATCCAGGACGTGAGAAGTGATGATGAGGATGAGTATGAAGAGGAAGAGGTTGAGGAAGAGGAGAAGGAGAAGGAAGAAGCCACCAAAGGCAAAGAGACAGACGATTTGAAGAATGGCCTTGGGGCCAACAGGCACCTCATTCCCAATGGTCAGCATGGCTGTTAGCTTGAAGCCTGCATAGCTCCTGGCACACAGTGCGCTGCAAGGGCTGCTGGGAGCTGGAAGTGCTCCCTCCTCCATTGCTGTGGCCTCAGGACCCACAGGGACCACAGATTTTGCCCTTCCCTCTTTCTAACCAGCACCTTCCCCCCCACCAAGATGTATTTAACAAAATGTTAATTTGTGTTAAAATGTTAAATGTAAGCATCCCCATGGATTTTACTGGAGTTAGGACTCAGAGTTCAAAGATTTCTCCTGAGAACCCTTCCACTTCTAATTGTTCCATTCATGAATTTAGACGTTTGGAGCCCATTTTGTTGTAGGCCTTCCCCTTCCCACCTTGCCTGTCCTCAGGATACTTTGGGAAGTGCTAAGTCAACCCACTTTTCCCAGGTGCGTTTGGCCACAGAGAGCAGCTCATTTCCCAAAAATGAGCTAGAGGTGGCAATGGAATGGTGGTGGCAGGACCAAACCAGGGGGCCAAGCTTCCAGGGCTCACGGATCCCTTTCTGCCATGGGCAGTGTTTAAACCTTCCATGCCGTGTGCTTCGTCTCTCTGATGGGAATAACCAGACCTGACCTGCCCCCTCACAGGGTTGGAATAAGGATCAAATGAGATAATAATGGAAGTGAGAGGGCATACTGTAGGCTATGGTGTTGCTGTTACCTGACCCTCTTTTCACTGTGATCACAGTCCCGTTTGGGAGAGAAGCCTGGTGAAACTTGGCACTGAACAGGCCTGAACAAAAGGCACAGTCTTGAAGAATTCCTTTTAAATGTGTCTGGAAATACCTAAACATGCAAGTACCCAGAAAGCTGTTTCCAGTTTATCTGGTAACTATTTATTTGTTAGCTTCCCAAAGGTAATTCTCAAATCCCCCAGGTTCTCGTCCCTCAGGTTCCATGGACAAGGGGAGGGAGTTTGGGCCCCATTCATTCTTGTCCTTTGCTGATTTCTCACTTATTTCCTCTCTGAAAGGGACGCTTCCCTGCTGTGGCCCTGAACCCCTCCTTCAGGCCAGCAGAGCTACCCAGCAGGCCATAGGGTCTACCTGGGGGCCTCTCTGGGGGCACTGGACCCAAGTCATGTTGTTCCCCTAGCCACTATCACCCAGGAAGCCCAGTTTCTGGGGCATGTGTTTGAGCTCCTGATCAAAGGAGGTCTTGGAAAAACAAAGAGACTCTGTACTTTAAACCCCTGCTCTCCAACCCAATCAGAGTGCATAACAGTAAAGCAGAACAAAACAAAGGGCTGGAAAACACTCCTGAGAATGTCCAAGGACAGGTGCTTGAGTCAGTGTCAGCTCCTGGGGCTGCCTTACCTCTCTGGGAGGACAGGTAGGGGCTGGAGGGTCAGTAGCCACCTCTCGACCCCCACAGGGATACATCTCCTGAGGCCAGCGTGCAGGGCAGACCTCAGAGACTTTCTCAGGTTACTGACTGAGGAGAGGCAGAGCCTTGTAGAGGAAGAGCCTGAGCAAAATGTGCAACTTTTCCCCACCCAATCTCTTATATTTTGGGGTCACATTTTGCATCTTCATGCTGTTTTGCTCAGGGCCCGTATTATAAAGCCAAGCAAGTGGAAGCTAAGCCTGTGGGGACTAGTAAAACCCACACAGACTCCACCAATGGGGGCTGCAGCCTCTGGAGCACAAAGGACACTGTATACAGTAAAGGTGTCTGCTTTTTTTTTTTTTTCAGTAAAAAGATGTTTTTAAAACCTTCAGGCTAAACAAAAACAAAAAACTTCAAAATTCTTTCACAACAAAATCTCTTTTTGAGGAATTGTTAGAACAACAGAAAAACATATGTCAGGTTTCTCTGCATAATATTTGCATTTATGAGTACAATAACATTATATATGTAATGTATATTATAAATCTCAAATGCCTCCAGTCACTTTAGGGCGTAGCTGTTGAATTATTGTTAATATTTATATTATTTTTTTTTGGTGAAAGATCACACTAAGATATTATTTTTATGTTCCAGTTAACAGACAGTTTTTTCCTTGATTTATTTTGGTCTTGCCTCTGTACCAAGTAACTTCTTGCTTTAGGTAAAAAAAGTGTTTAGTTGTTGCTCTATCCTCCAGTTCTTTCTTTTTTTCTTATTTGAACATTGAAGGTAAAATTGATATGCCAATTTCAACTATCTGTGATACAGCTGGAAGCACTAAACTATCTCTTAAGAGGTAGAGATGCATATTTTGTAACATTTTTAGGGCTTTTGTGGTTAATTTTAAGGGTAACCTGTCTTTCTACAGGAAACAAGAGCTCATAGTATATACCAGATGACTTTATAAAAATGTAGTCCACCATGCCACCAGTATTATTGTAATGGTAATGACTTACAATAAAACAGAGACAGAGCCCAGCATGTATGGTGATTGAGTAGATTCAGCACACACATTGTTTGGCTTCTTAGAGATCATTACTAGTCCTATTGAGTGGCGGAAACAAAGATTTGCCAGTCCTCTAGAAACACCCTGCAGGGAATCAGGGGGAGCAGTGAGGAAAACAGAGCCAAGTTAGGACATTAGGGCTGCTGGCCTTGGGGTACCAGACACCAGAGAGGAGAGGTAACAGGTCAGGCCTGACTGGGCTGAGTCTCTTGGCTGTGCACAGTGTAGACAGACAGATGCTTGTGGGCTGGAGACTAACCTGGGCCACAGCACCTTAGCCCTGTAGCAGGCCCTGTAGAAGTGCTAAGTGAGGGGCATGGTCCTAAAGATATTTTCTCAGCCCCCTTTTATATACCTACCTTTCAAAGGTGGAGGAGGAAATAGGGTCTATTGATGGTTCAACTGGCTGTCCATCAGAATTACCTATTGAGCTTAAAACACACCTTGCCTGTTGCCTGCTCCATATTTAGATTAAGTACTTCTGGAATAAGAAAAAGGAATTTGCATTTTAACCAAGTCCAGGTGCTTCTGAAGAGCAGTCAGGACTCTGTGTGACCCCACTTGGTTTTATTCCTACTAGCAGTTTTATATGCTAATAAATGAGAATATACAATGATACAGAATATTTACTCCAAAATAAATTCAAATAAAATAATAAAGGAGAAAAGGAAACATGAGAGCAGTCAAGACAAATAGAAAACATTGTAAGAGCTTTACACTGGTTAGTACAATGGCAGTACTAATTACCAAATCCAAATTTATAGGTAATTACATCCAGTGTAAGAACAGAGTACCAGATCAGATTTTTTAAAACTCCAACTATAGGCTACTTACAAGAGATATGCTATAAATATATGCAAAAAGAAATGTTGAAAGTAAAAGGAGGGATAAAGGTATACCATGCAAACTCTATCCCCAAAAAGCTGACATAGCTATTCTAATATCAGACAAAGGCAAGAAGAGCTAGTGGGTATTAAGAGGAATGTTTCATAACAGTGAAAGGGATCAGTCCACCAGGAAAATATTTAAAAATTAAATCTGTATACACTGAATAATATGCCTTTAAAATATATAAAGAAAAACTTTACAGAATTAAAAGGAGTAACAAAGTCATAATTGTGTTTGGGTGGTTTTAACACACCATTCAGTATCTGATAGAAACAGCCAACCAAAAAGCAATAAGAATACAGAAGATTTGAACAATGAAATGAACAAAATTGGCCCAGATGACATATGTAGAGAGAGCACTGTACCCAACAAATGCAGGCACACATTCTTTTCAGGTGCATGTGAACATTTACCCAAACTGACCACATGATAGGCCTTAAAACAAATCCCAAAACATTTCAAAGGTTTTAAATCATATAGAGTATGATCACTGATCACAGTGAAATTAGACAAGAAAAATCACCTATTTTTAAGTTAAGTAATGCACTTCTAAATGTAGCAAAGAAGCAATCACAATGGAAGTAAAACATTTTAAAATGAATTATAACAAAAAATAATGAAAAGTATGTGGGATTCAACTAGTGACAAATTTAGAGGAAATTTTATAATATTAAAAGCTTTTAGGGGCTTCCCTGGTGGCGCAGTGGTTGAGACTCCACCTGCCAATGCAGAGGACACGGGTTCAAGCCCTGGTCTGGGAAGATCCCACATGCCGCGGAGCAACTGGGCCCGTGAGCCACAACTACTGAGCCTGCGCGTCTGGAGCCTGTGTTCCACAACAAGAGAGGCTGCGACAGTGAGAGGCCTGCACACCGCAATGAAGAGTGGCCCCCCGCTCGCCACAACTAGAGAAAGCCCTTGCACAGAAACGAAGACCCAACACAGCCAAAAAATAAATAAATAAATGTCTCAAAAAAAGTAAAAAGGGAAATTAATAAAATAGAAAACTAACATATAATAGAGAATATCACAAAACCAAAAGTTGGTTCTTTAAAAGAAAACAATTCATAAAGCAAGACTGATCAAGAAAGACACAAATAACTAATATTAGGAATGAAAAGGATCTGTCACTATAGATCAAACAAAGAACAAATAATAGGAGAATATCATGAGCAACTTTATGTCAATAGATTTGAAGATGTAAATAAAATGTGTAAGTTCCTAGAAAAATACAGCTTGTCAAAATGGGCACAAGAAGAAACAGATATCTAAATAGCCTTCTATACAAAACAATTAAATCTGATATTTTAAAATATGTCCCCCATTAAAAAAATCTTTAGGCCCAGATGGCTTATACAGTGAATTCTTCCAATATTTAAGGAAGAATTAACAGAATTATTACACAAACTTTTCCAGAGAAAAAAGGAAGGAACACTTCACATTTGTTTTACAAGTCTAGCATAATCTTGATACTAAAATCTGACAAGAGTATTAGGAGAAAAAGACCCAACAAGTATAGGCTAAGTCATTCATAAACATAGGTACAAATTTTCTAAACAAAAGCAAACTGAATTCAGCAATATGTAAAGAAGACAGTGCATAGCAAACAAGTTGGGTTTATTTCAGGAGCATGTTGTTGATATACTATTTCAAAATCAATGTTATTAACAATTTTAAGAGAATAAAGGAAAACCCAAATCTTCAAAAGCCTTATATAAAATTCAACCTCCATTCATTAAAAAAAAAAAAACCAGAAAAGTAGGAAGGAATTTCCTTTATCTGATAATAGCATCTTCAAAAAGTGTAAAGCCAGAATCATATAATGCTATATGGTGAGATATTGAGTTTTATCCCCTGGGATTATCACTGAGACAAAAATGTCCACTATCTTCAAGGAGGCCCATCATCCTGAATATATTCAACATTGTATTTTTCATCCCAGCCAGTATAATATTTAATAAATAAATAAAAATTACAAAGCTCAAAAGGAAATAATTGTTACTACAAATGTAAATGCAAAAAACCCCCACACATTGTATGTGTGTGTAAATTTATACAGAAATGCCAAGGATTAAGACTGGCTAAGACAATTATCTGTAAAGGAACATATTAATGAATCAGATTAAATGATAATAAAGAACTTCTATTTCTCAAAAGACACCATTAAGAGAGTGAAAAGGCAAGTCATGGAGTTGGAGAAAATAATTGGCAACACTTATAACTGACAAAGGGCTCGTTATCCAGTATATATGAAGAGGTCCTACTCATCCCCCCAAAAATATACAACCCAATAAAAAAATGAACAGGCACTTAACCAACACTTTACAAAACACCATATCTAAATGTTCAATAAACATATGAAAAGGTGCTCAATTTCATTAATCATTAGAAAGACTCATAGTACCAAATGGCAATCACATGGAACAATGGAAACACACACTGTTGGAGGAGTATAAACAGTTATAATACTTTGAAAAATAGTTTGTCATCATTTCCTAAAATTGGACATATGCACATATCATAACCCAGTAATTTCACTCCTAGGTACATACTAGAAAGGCACACGTAAAAGACCAAAAGAATGCACATGAATGTTCATATCAGCAATGTTAACAACTCTGAAGGGCACTTCCCAAATGTCCATCAAGAATAAAATGGACAATTGTGGTCTATTTACAATACAGGATACTGTAGAGCAATGAAAATGAACCAACTGGTACTTGCAACAATATAGTTTCCTCTTACGATCTTAATGTTTTGTAAAAGACTCTAATGCAAAATGAATAGATGCTTTATGTTTCCATTTATTATAGTGTTCAAAAACAGACAAAACCAATCTATTATGGTAAAAGTCAGGGTAGTGGTTACCTTTGAGAAGAAGAGAGGGACTGTGCCTGGATGGGGCCCAAGGGGGCTTTGGGTGCTATTGATGTTATGCTTCTTGACCATGGTAGTGCTTCCATGAGTGTGTTCAATTTGTGATACATCAGCAAACTGCACACTTAGGATGTGTATGCTGTTCTGTATAGATATTATAATTTTTTTGAAGTTGTTAAAATGAAAAAGGAAAAGCTAGCTACTTTTAAGTTCTTACCTTTCTAAGACAGCTAATGTCCCAGTCTCTTCTTTTTTATATAAACTTTAATACCAAAAGTATCTACCTTAAGATATACATAGGGCTTCCCTGGTGGCGCAGTGGTTGAGAGTCTGCCTGCCGATGCAGGGGACACGGGTTCGTGCCCCGGTCTGGGAAGATCCCACATGCTGCGGAGCGGCTGGGCCCATGAGCCATGGCTGCTGAGTCTGCGCATCTGGAGCCTGTGCTCCGCAACAGGAGAGGCCACAACAGTGAGAGGCC